CACCTTAGGTGTATGTGGCTGGCATCTTAGCCACTTGAGCCACAGGCGCTGAGCCTATTTTTTTCTTATTTAAGACAGAGTCTCACTCTGTCACTCTGGGTGGAGTGCTAGGGCATTATAGTTACTCAGGAGGCTCAGTACTATAGGTGTGGGCTACTATGCTGGGCTATTTTTTCTTTTTTTTTTTTTAGTAGAGATGGGGTCTTGCTCTTGCTCAGGCTAGTCTCTAACTCCTGAGCTCAAGCAATTCACCCACCTCAGCCTCCCAGAGTGCTAGGATTATATGCATGAGCCACTGCACCTGGCCTTGATACATTATTTTTAATTTAAGTCCATACTTTATCTAGATTTCCTTAGTTCTTATCCAATGTCCTCCTTGTTCTGTTTCAAAATTCTACATCACATTTAGTCACTGTGTCTCTATAGATTCCTCTTGGCTCTGATAGTTTTAAGGAGTACGGATCAGGTATTTTATAGAATTTTCCTGTGCTAAGATTTGTCTGTTGTTTTTCTCATGGTTAGACCAGGGTTAATGGATTTTTGAAAAAAGACCACAATGTGAAGTATCCTTTTCATCTCATTATATTAAGGATACTTATTATCAATATGATTTATAACTAGAAGTCATTTTAAAATTTGGATTTTTATGTAAAATCTTTAGACAGTGAGATGTGACTTTGGTGGGGCTTCATCCTGATATGGCAAAAACTAGATGGATGGAGTCACAGCTGGGCTCTTGAGAGGGATTTGGGCTTTTTCAGGTCACATAGTCCCACATCCCTGCTTCCATCACTGGCTTTTCCTGACTGGCTTCTGCAGGAGGCCAGCCTTGCCTTTGTTGTCAGCAAATCTAGGCTTAATTTGTCAAGATTCTGTTGTAGGGTGCAGTGCACTGGGAGAGTCAACAAGAAGGGGAATGTCTGGGTTTAAGGGGTAAAGAGGTTGCTGGAAATGATTAATTTCCTACCCATAGTGAAGTTCTCTCTGAAGAACAGTGTCAGATTATAGATTGTTGTTCTGGTATCTCCTACAACCATAGCTACCGCTGCTGTTCCTCCAGCACTGGGGATCCCTTGTCCCTGGATGAATTGCTGCTGAAATGTGATGTGGAGAAGACTGAAGAGGAGCTGGAAGAGGATGACGACAAGCTAGATGAGACCCTGTTGAGAGACCATGGGGTCTGACAGATGTTCCCGGAGAGGGTTCTTTCCATGCCAGAGCCACTTTTGATCTCTCCCTTTTTATGGCTCAAAACATGTACAGGTTTTTCAGGGTATCCTTATGGATTGGGATCACTTCCTTTATGATTCTGGTTTTTCTTGTTGTCTTTGAGACCAAGAAGTTGTCTTTCAGCAATAGCAACAACTGCTGCAGCAGCAGTTACGTCTAGGGCCTAACACGGGACTATCTGGAAGAATGCCAGGGGCTCTATCTTCACTTCCTGGGAAGATCTAGATTGTTACTGCTATATTGGGGAGGAAGTTTGAATTCAATAGTATTTGAACTGCTCATTATTTGGATTTTTCTTTTGAGACAGAGTCTCACTATGTTGTCCTCTGTTGAGTATGGTTGTGTCATAGCTCACAGTAACCTGAAACTCCTGGGCTCAAGCTATTCTTTGGTCTCAGCCTCCCAAGTAGCTGGGACTATAGGTGCCCACCACAATGCCCAGTTATTTTTAGAGATGGGGTCTTGCTCTTGCTCAGGTTGGTCTCAAACTCCTGAGCTCAAGCAATCTGCCTATTTCGGCCTCCCAAAGTGCTAGGGTTACAGGTGTGAGCCATATGCCCATATTTGGATTTTTTTTTTAATGTTGGCACATTGATCTATCTAAGCCTGGGGGTGGGGAAATTCTTCCCACATTGTCTCATGGAGAGACTGTCAACTTGCAACTGTACCCTCCTTGACATCCTGACTTATTTCTTCTGTCCTCACTCTAATACCAGAGTGCAGCAGGCAGATGTTTATTCCAGCTCTGGCCACTCTACCCCTTTCACTGAATTGCTTCTAACCAAAAGATGTTACTATCCCATTGGGGATAGGAACTAATGGCAGTGGGAGGGATGGATCCCTGACCATTAATGACTTTTTTTTTAAAGAAT